CTTGAAAATTTGTTTAGGAGCAATGTTTTATAAAGGGTTTAATTGGGTTCAGAAGGAAGGGGGGGGGAGTGCAGGTGGACAGGGTTCAGAAGGAATTCAAACCCTCATTAATTGGGTTTCCAATTTAAAAATTTGGTGCCAAAAAAAACATTATAGAGGTATTATTTTTCAAACAGGGGGGTCTGAATAATTTTCGAAAAATTTAGCATTATAGAAGTCCCCTTTACTAATCGTGATCCAACATTATTTTAGAGAGGTCGGCCTTGCAACCTAACCTAACCATCATCCTCCACTGTGAAACAGGGTTTCGGAATGAGGATAAAGCCCGAAATTTACATACCTTTCACATCAGATGGAAAGTAAGATTGCTCTTGGGAAGGCGATGTCCCTTGACCAAACAGTAGGGAGATGTAGGGTGTTCCACGTCCATTCAACCCAAGTGTTGACCAACCGGAGCAGGAAGCCTCCTTGGTTTGAGGCTGGTTCTTCCTCTAGGGGTGAATCCGCCTTCGGACGTTTCAGCCACTCCGAACTCGGGCGCCACTTGCCCCACCAGGAGGGTGCCAAGCTCTTTGTGACGGGCATCGCTTGCTTAGCCCATGGCTCCTTGGCGCCCTACTAGGAGCAAGGACGCTACTAGGAACTAAGGGCATCGCTACTAGGAGCAAGGTGAGAGCTTGACTAGGCGGTGAGGGAGCTTCCACAGATCAGCGGACTGGACTCGATGTGTTCCAAAATGATCCTATTAATGATCTTGATGCGATTCATGGTGGAAGCCAAGGCCTCAGGCAGTACAATGAGCTGGTGCGGTGCTCTGTCGCCACTGCAGGCGCTGCGGGGTGTGCACCACGGTGGGGGTGAAAGCCGAGTCATGCCTTCTACGAAGTCACGGTATCAGGGGGTCTTGAACCATGCCCCTACAAGTCCGAAGGCCCAGTAAAAAATCAAGCCCGGTGTTCGAATACTGCAATGAAATGTGTTCTTTTGTCTACTTGAGCATTGTTTTGGCATTACCAACTCCAGTAGAATGAGGTCATTGACCCGTCGTATATGTTTAAAACTACCATGTCGCTCATTCCACGGCCCGACCTCCAGGCAACGACCATCGGCTGGGAGCGCAGGAGGCACCGCCAGCAATTATCTCTCTTTATCCCGGCCAAGGCTCGGCACCTCGGTGGCTGGTTGGTTCAGACGTGGACTCGGACGCGAAGGAGCACAGCAAGGGAATCCTTGAGCTGGTGTATAGGAACAGTGATACATGGAAGTCATGTTTCAGGGTGGGCAGGCGAAGCAGATGTTCAGAGCTGCTTTAAACGGACTTGGGAGTTTTCGGGCGCTGCGGCGGCACTGTAATGCTTAGTTGAGATGGGGCACCTTTCGTGAGTCCCAGCATGGGCGATGTGCGGGAAGCCACAGCGTTTGCGCGATCTCGTGAAGGAAGACACCAACAAATTCAGCGGCTTCCCGAAAGCACTCCTGGCTCAGATGCAACTGTTTCTGGCAAACCCCCGCATACACCCTAGAAGTCCAAGACTGTTTTAGAGAACGCAGACAATGAACTTTAAGGAACAGGAACAGACCATTCTTCAAACAGTCTTGGAGTTCGGTGCATGTATCGACCAGACTGATAGGAAGGGGCTGGTCAAAGGGGTGGGCTTTCCACAAAAAGACGAGCGTCAGAGAAAGACACAGTTTCCCAATATGGCCACCATAGACCATAGCTATGATGCGAGGAAATTGCATGTATCAGGGGTCGCCCAACACAAGCGTATTGTGAGTTGCGCAGCAGCCCTTGGAGGCTTTGAGAAGTATGTGGACAGTGTCATCAATGGAGGAGCACGCGTGAACTCGGGGGGGCAAGGCTCAGGTTCGATCTGTTCGAATTGTTAACCCCATGTCACAAAACAGTATTTTAAAGTGGTTGACCTAGGGAAAAAGGTCAACCACTTTAAAATACTGTTTTGTGACATGGGAGCACCCCAACATGGAACCTTGGATCGTGCGCATGTCGGATGGAGAAATGGAAGAGTTTTTGGCCACAACTCTTGCCCAGATTTAGCTGGTTGGATGCTGGTTGTAGGGGACGAAGCCACAAAGATCCTCCTTCCAGAGGGATGAATCTCAGATTTCAGAAGATATGATGAATGATATCTAAGACTGTGCGATATTGGGTCATCTATTTAAGATATATTGGGTCATTGGTCATGGGGTCGCACACCTGTCCTGTTCCATCCTCTTCCCGCCACGTGTTCTTGCGCTTTGAGGGAACCATGTTCATGGGTCCGAGGATCCGGAGCAGACCGCACCCCTTCACCGGCACCCTTTTCTAGGTGGGGCACAAGTAGCTGGGAAGGCGAAAAGTAGAACCGTCACTGTTACGAGTAGCACGACGTAAACCTGCACGTGTGGCTGAGAAGGTTGCGTGTGGCTGAGAGAGTTTGGCCGTGGGCAGGAGATTTGTTGGGCTACAAGGCTGAGAAGAAGAAGCAGGCCACCGGCTGTTCTCAGGCGGATCCCATCGAAGCCAATGCGCCTCGGAGAATTTTCACGGCGAAGAAACGCGAAGCCGTGAGGAGGGTGGTGGGAGAGGAGTCTCCAAGATGCCCCCCCAAAGGGAAGAAGATCGGTAGCTGGGATCCATCCAATAGCTTGTGGCTAAAGCTTAGAGGCGATGCATTTGGCTAGGATGAGCTGATCTTGTAGGTAAGACCAAACAAAGCATTGGGTCTCTATAGGCCATGGCAGACGGGTGGTTGGGTGTTGGATTCCACGTCATTGGGATGCAGATGATGCAGTACACTACTTCCAGTGCTGCGGCAAGTCCTTGCCGTTGAAACATAGAGCACGCGGATCTGATGATCTGATGGGTGTCTCATGGTGTGATGGTCCATCCTTACTATTTTATGGTCTCTGTATATTATATATATATATACAGTATATATTTAACATTAAATTTAGGTGACCCGAAAGGAAATTGTTTGTACTTCGGTGGTCCCAAACATATATATAAAGAATATAACTATGTCATTTCAGGACCCAATGGCGTCACAACAGAGCCTGAAAGAGGGGTGTTGACTTGCCGTTCTGAACGGCTTGGAGGTCATGTGTCACTAAGTTGGCGATATGATGATGATGTATGATGATTGAATTTTTGTGATGACATCCATCCCTTGTTGAAGGACAGTTTCATCAACCATCCTAGAACAACCTGTCCAGCAACCTTCATCAGCCGTACAGTAGGCCGGGCCCCTTATCATCTCTCAGACTGCGTTGGTTGGTTTTGAAGACTGTTCCTGACTTCTCGCGTCGAGAAGTGGATTCAGTGGATGCTGGTAAGATCCACCCCAAGCAAGACCTGTCACCCCAAGACCATGTCTTTTTTGGTGAGCTACAGGCGACATAGAGTTAGTCTTGCTGATCGGAGCGCACCCAGACCAATCACCACACAGTGAATCACACACCCGCGCCAACCCGCCCACCGCACAGATCTACACGCAAGTCCAGGTGGAAGATCGCAATCGCACCGCGCCCTTCCCCTTCTGCGGCAATCGCTTCGAGTTCCGCGCCGTTGGCTCCTCCCAGAACTGCCGCTTCGGTCGAGTTCGGGCGGCGCGGTGTGGTGGTGTGGGCTCAACATGGCAGAAGCACTGAAAGGCAGGCATGATGTAGACTGTTGATTAATGACACCTTTGTATGAAGAGGTTTTACAACCCATGTTTGGGGGGGAGTTTAATATCAAGATTCTACATCTAGTGAAGAAGAAGAACATACATAACAACATGTCTCTTTCACAATCTTAACACAAATTCCCAGTGGGTAGCTCTCAACAGAATCGGATGGACAATGGTTTTCAGAAATCACACAAGCATGAAAGATGGCGGCTAGATTATATAGATATTTACCTCCTTGAGTGTTTACCTGCTCCACTTCTCAGTGTTCCATTACTGTAGATGCTACCTGCATCATGTCGCATCATACACGGGACGGTATCATCTACATCTTTGACCCCCCTTTTGTGAGCCTCCAAAACCCGGGCCCTCGAAGTCCGTCCTGTCACGCAGTTGGCTGGGACAGTTGGCTGGGACAGACGGAACCAGTCTTCCCCGTTCGTAGCTTCTTGTTACTAGCTGCTTGCTCCGTTCGTAGCGATGCTTGGAGCCCGTAGTCCTAGTAAGGTCAGCCCCGAACCTATAGCTTCGGCCATCGGATCGATCCGAGGCAATTTGCCCGTCATGGTGTGCAACGCCATCATGGCCTCGGGCATGTCTTACCTGGCCGACTTGATGGAGAAGGGACTCTCCCATCGCGATGCGGTGGCCCAGCTCTTCAAGGCGTGTCCGGTAGGGAGGGAGGCAGAACTGGTGTAGGGCGGCACGCCGCGGCAGAGAGTTGCTGGTTGTATGTATCCCAGACACTCCATGTATGTCATATTTACTGGTTTCAGGGATGAATGTAGGCATATATGGCAGTCCCATGGAGCGTCTGGGTAAAGTTATTATGTATATATATATATAATTGAAGAATGTGGATGTATATCATGGACATCCAACTGTCGGTCGTTTTCCGGCAGTCCGTCGGAAGAAGTTCAGGAGAATCCACCAGGTTTTGGGGGTGGTACCACACAGCTGGAGAACCCACCTCAGCCGTTCTCGCAGCCGTCCTCGCAGGAGAACCGGCATGTGGTCTTCACGGGGAATGGCTATGCAGCGGAGTGGAGGCAAGAAGCGGCGAAGCGAGGCTTGCCCAATTTGACGCTTGGTGAAGGAGGCAAGTGGGGCGGGGCTTTGCACGGGTGGAGGGGGTTGATGAGGTATGGCACATTATGGCACCTCAATTCCTAAAATAGCACTCACCTGGAAGGTGACTAGAGGCTGGCATGTAGTGAGAGAGATCCTTTCTTTAAAAAAGAAAACCAACGACTTCCAGGTCTTGCGGGTCAGAAATTGCCATCATGCCTGAGCTGGACGTAGTCTTACGGCGAAGTCGCAAGCGCGCTCAGTGCTGACTCAGTGTGGTTCATCAAGGCTACGGCGGCTACGAGGAGGCCACAGATAGCGGCCCCCCTGAGCTCTACCTTCTTGCTCAGACTTTTTGTTGGGACGTTTGAGATAGGATTGGAGGTTAACATGTTTATTTTGAAGCGTTGTTGTACTTTGTTTTTCATTGAAGCATGTAGTTGGAGCCAATTTGTATGTTGCTTTCGTCTCTTGAATTGTGTCAATCACAGGGTGCTCAGAATCCAAGGCCCTAATCTCATAATAGATCTATCTGGGGGGTGTCAATGTTGGGTAACAACTCGTAGACTTTAAGAGGGTTAAGCAGAGCCTGCCGGTCACAAGCGGGCCTAACACTCCACAACAGCCAGGCAGTCACACGAACCAACCTTAGCTGAGCAGTGGAGTAGGGATGTGATCCAGGTGCGGCCATCGTACTCCAGATGCAGGGTGGATCCGGCAAGGGCACGTCCATGATGGTCTATCCCTAACACGCTCTTGAGAGATAGATAGAGCTCATTTAATGGGCGGTGGGTAGTCCAACATAGAGGTCACAAAAAGGCTCTAGGTTTGTAGAGCTGGGCTTTCCGTTTTGTAGACCAATCCAGTCTTTAGCTTGTGAAAACACACAGGGTGACTCACATGCGCCAGCCACCTGAGCCACTCAGGAACACGACGCCCAAAGCTTTGGCCACTTGGAGCTCCGAGAAAAACCAGGCATGAGCTTTGGCCACGAGCTGATGGGAACCGCTGGGGTGGGAGGCGGGTGGTGACATAAGAAGAATGCTCAGAAAGTTAATCACTTTGTGATTACTAAATCCCCCAGACATAGCAGGGGACACACCCTCCATAGCAGGGCTTTGGACCCTCAAACGAGTGTCAGGCGAGGTCCGCCCTTGACAGCAAGATGCTGCAAACCAGCAGGCGCTCTTCGAGAAGCTTGGAATCTACACGAAAGAAGAGACCTTGGCGAGACAAGAGGTGATGTATGAGAACTATGTCACCTCTTTGAAGATAGAGGCGAGCTGGGTTTTTCGCCATGGCCCTGTGACTGGTGTGACTGGTGGAGATTCTTTTGGGGGAGAGACTGGTGTATTCATGAGTGATCCATTGGAGTCTCCTGTGTGCAACTCAGAACTCCAGCCATGAGCAGTTTGTTTGGATGAACCCTGAATTCTCACGCCTCTTTGATCCCGGAATCTCTTCAATCCCCTGCAGCTCGGAATCATTGTTTTCCCAGAAGGAGGGGTCCCAGGTGCTTCTTTTCAATACGTGTGGTTTCGGTTTGCAGACAATGAACAAGAATCGGTCCGTGTGGATCAGGTGGGAAGGGAAGACCCAAGTGGAAAGGATACCAGATCGAAAATGATCAGATTTGGAATCGACTTGTTCGGATGTGTTCGGTAGCCCTTAAGATCAAGAGGTCTTTTGGCACCTGATGCACCTGATCCGTCACATGTGGCACTCCCTGCCCCGCACTCCGCGGCGCGGGCCTCTGTGCGGGTGCGGTCGCGACCACGCACGGGCCGAACCGACGCGCCGCTTCGGCGGGTTCGGTGCGTCGAGGCTGACACGATGATCCAGATGGTGGAGACCTCCATCTGGCCCGCCTGCGTCAAGGACCGGGTCGGCCCCCAGCGTAGTCCGCTGCCGTCACGGGGGGAGTGAGCAGCCGTGTGAGTCTGGGGAGGCGGAAGCCGGTGCGAAGAGGCAGGTTCCAAGACCAGTCACGGCTTTGGGTTTTGGTGCTGCAGTTGTTGGGAGAGTGGGACTTGCAGGACTTGAAGGTGATGAAGATGTACTCCTCCAAGGCTGAGGCCGTTCTCCGACCGACCACGTCGTCAGTGCATACGTCAATTTGAATGGCACTGGTGAAGGAAGGTGGAAAGGAGTGGGAGTGCCGCGCCCTTGAAGGTGCTCGTGGCAGCACCTGAGGCAACCAAGAAGGGAGGCTGCTTCTTGGCTGGAGGATGAACTGAGCCAGGAACTTTTTGCATGGGCATGTCCCCATTGGTCTGGGTGTGGGAATCCAACTAGTCACTGTACTTGTAGGTGTGGCTAGGTGAGATGATATGTCTGTTTCAAACCCACTGATGGTGCCCTGAACTTGGTGCCATTGATTCACCCTGAACTGAACTGGGGATTCAGTCAAGCCCTGGGGTCCTGGATGGTCCTGGTATAGATGAGTTTCAAGTCAATGGCAAAATTTGAGCCGATCTTGGGGAAACGATGCGGACCATGTGGGGCCTTTTGATGTGGAGGGCAGCGCGTTTGGCTCCCAGCTCCAGAAGCTGTGCGTCCAGGTGAACAAACAGCCACAGCTGTGTATTGAAACACACGTTTTTTTTCCCCGGTCACCAGCGGGTCCTTGAGTATACATTCCTTCGATTCCTTCTTCCATAGCGTTGGACGTGAAACAGTCCCCCTGGCGTGACATGCTCGTCCCGCGAAGCCAAGCGCAAACCGAGTGGGGCAAACCGAGAGTGCAGGGACGATGTCCAGAAGGTGACCCGAGTGGAGACCATTTGGACCGAGACAATGCGAGGGCAGCACCCAGTGGGGACCCTTTTTCATGAGAGAACCCGTCGCTGAAAAAAGGGCTACTTAAGATCACTAGGGTTCGGAAAGACTCTGTTGCAGTGTGTATATGATAGACCATGATCCCAATCCATGATCCCAATCCACCCCCCAAAAAAGAACAAACGACTACAGTGACTAGTGTGAAGGAAAAACCAACGGTTGACCGGTCCTAAAAGAAAGGAAGAGATTCCACCGGCCTGAGAAAGGGATTCCACATGATTCCACCCCTTTCTCAGGGGCGCCCTGTGGGACAGCACCTGAGTCAAAGAACGGCAACCAGGCAGGGCGGACACCAGTCCTTCTTTATAAGCTGTATGAGCGTCATACATGATCAAATCATGCATGCTCATGCCGACCATCATGTGGCTGGGCCCAAGAACTATACTTTATTAGCTGGTGAGTCGGGGGGTCGATAATTCGGAGCCGGGGCTGTCCATGTCCCCCCTTCACAGGGGAAAGGGAGCTCTCTAACCACTTGCTAGATATGCCATAATATGCTCATTGGTCAATCCATGTCAATCCTATTCTGAGATCGACACCTCCGCAGTGCCATAGTATAGACCTCAGAACTCTTAACTCTTGTTGCCAAGAGGATTTTGACTACTGCATTACAATGATAAGACCCTGCTTGCTGCAGATGTTCATCGGCCGATGGGGCAGAAACGCCTATAAGAATCTGAGAGACACTGGATTCGCCACTTCGCAGCTTCAGGAGCCCAAGAAGACCTCCGGAACTCGAGACTCGGCGGGTCATGCCGAAACCGGAAACCGTGCGGATGTGTTGTCTTAGCGCCCCTGGATGTGGGGAGCATGATCATCTTCCCAGCAGGTCATTTAGGTCACTGCAACTCACTTGGAAAATGCTTTCTCATAAGAGAGATGCCGTTTTCGGGTGCATGCTAGACCCACCAACCTCACATTGGATGGTCATGGGCCATTCACAATCTTGGAACTTTGGTGCCCCTTTGGACATCACCAGGCGATCACCAGGTTCCTCTTCCTTCCAAAGCCTATGGGCCCGCATACGCTGTCAGAGGGTGATTGGAGACGCTTTGATGCAGGTGCCGAGGAGGGTCCAAACACCTTCTCAGGAGCTACTTGGATCCCTCCACCGGTCCGGATTGAGCACCGGGAGCGTCCCAGGGCGGGATGCCTACGAAGCGATCATGACAGAGACTGAGCAATTGAAGAGCTTGCTGCAGCAACTTCCAGAAGCCCTGGCTGAGGAGAGGGCATCCTGGGGCTCACGTGAGCGGGGGGAAAAATATGTTTAAGATATTTTGAGAGACTTTTTTGAGACCCTTTTTCCTACTCTTTTGGATGTGATAATGTGGTACATCTCCAAGTGAACTACCAAATCTGTCCATCTCGAGGAGGGCTTGCTCTGCGCTAAACGGACTTGATTGAGAGGTTTGCATCGGAAAGCTTCAAATCACTGGTCACGCAGTTGGTTGGGTCTCGGAACATGGCCAGTGGAATCGCCCAGTGGAATTGCCTTTGGACAAGTGGGTTCACCCGAGGTGGAACGGGGGTAATCCGTGTCCCCACTCAGAGAAGGTCAAAAGATCAGCCGAGTGATCAACCGTTAACAGGACCTTCCAGCAGGTGGTTCGACCGGAATCCTAACAGGCGTGGTTCTTGGAATCCTAACAGGTGGTTTTCATGACCTGCTGTCACCTCAAGACCAGATCTTGGAGGGTCGCAGACTTCTTCTCTCCGACGGAGCGAGGCTCCACACCGCCAGGAGGCGACCTTTCTGTGCGACGTGGTGAAGCCCCAAATGGAGCGGCTGCGCTTGGCGGTGGCTGGGTGTGGCGTGAAACGAAAGGGTGATTTCGATTGAATCGCGGTTCCTGGGCAAATCCCCGGTCTCCGGGGTAATATGTTTCACATTGTTTCACATGTGTTCTCGGCACTGGACAGCCGTGCTCCAAGGTGGACACCGCGGAAGGCGTCATGGATGCGGAGCTCTATCCTTATCCAAGCTACGAGACGATGCGCCCTGGGATGAGAAAGACGCTCCATATGGATCACCTGCCCGGTGGGGCGCACGTCCCATGGACCCTGGGGCCACTGGGGACACCCCACTATTGGAACAGATCGAAAGTTTGGTTGTGAATGTTTTCTTTTTTTAGAGGGAGTTACTTGGTCATGGAGGTTCATGGTCATTGACCTATAGAGCAACAGGCAGCGGGATTGGAGCGCACAAAACAGGCACGGGTGCTGGAGTGGAACCTTCCACTCCCAACTTCCGCTTTATTTATGGAGAACATGACCTTTTACAATCCCAGAATTGGTTTCAGAATGTTTCAGATGGTGTAAGGGACAATCTGCAGGACATCCACCAATTTTTTTGGGGCGACCACCATCGGAAAAGAGACCCAACGCAAGGGGGTTTTATTGAAGCCAATCCATGGATCTAAGCACCCAAAAGTGCTGGTCCGAGGCTCTACTCGCATCATTTTGAGCCGATGCCCCGGCGGAAGTAGCTCCGTCCGACTCCCCGCCGGGGCCGGCAGAGAGGGCGACGTTCTTTTCAAGCCACCGCCTCAAAGCGGGGGGGGGCCATGAAGGAGAAACCTTGGAGGGGTCTGGAAGGTTTGTTGGTGCAGTGGATCTCACATGGATGTGCAGTGGATCTCACATAGATGTCGAAGAAGCCTTGTTAGAGAATGACATCCTCATGACATCCTCTTCTAGTCACGGCGTTTGAGGTTTGAGAATTATTCATTCACTCGCATTTTTGGTGATGCTATGTGATGCTGTAAATATAGATTAAATAAATCAAAGCAATTCAAACCATATCAACAAATGTTTTGCGTACAACTGGTTCTGGTTCAACATGCGCGACTGGAGCCAGTGCTCAATTTTTGAACTAGTGACGGCCGTCAGCCGGTGGTACGTCTCCTGATGCGACTGGAGGCGCTCCATAGAAACCGAGAGAAGCAGTGACCCATAGGGTTGGTGAATTGTCCGGGCAGAGCTTTTTCAGTGGCCTCAAGTTTGTTCCGGCACCATTTCTTCAGTGTGGCAACTGGTCCTCGACAGCAAGGACCGAAGCTGCTGGTCCAACTGTCGCACGCGGTTGTGCTCGAAATCCGGAAGTTCTGCGCCATGAAGGGACGTTGAACGGCGATGGTTTTCTCAGTACACTCCCTGAAACAATCATGGAAGTGGAACATAGGCCCCTGGAAGACTATTTTCTTCTACAAGTGAGGCCCGCCCAGCTTCCATGATTGTTTGAGGGAGGGTAACTGTCTGGTCACCCCAAATTTTGCGTCAGGCGCATATGTTCGATTAGGATGCTGTGAAGCTGTAATTCTTGTTCTGGAAGCCAGTTGATTGTGTGGTTTCACGGTCCGAGTATGTGGTTCTAGACACTACCCACGTTCGTTGGGTCCCACCCCAACTTGAAACTCCAGGAGCCAGATGTTATTGCATACCCTTTGCGATTGGCAGAGTTCTTGGAATGTTGGGGGCTCGAGCCAAGAACTGGTGATGCAGTTGTACATGACGCACCTGTGTTTTCATGTTCTTTCAACGCCTGATGCACACGGTTGGCAACAAACATGCACCCGAGCCGAGAGCCGAAGAAACCACCCACCCAATGAGGTCACCGGCAAGAGGTGGTGCCCTACTGGCGCAACAGAGCACCAGGGCACTATAGAGTGGATGTCAAGTGGAGCTTGATGTCCATAGTCCCATGTGCTTCTCCCTCTTGCAAGGCCGTCCTTGGTGTTGCTTAATGATGTGGATGCTCCCTATGGATGAATTTTTGACAACATGTTTCTTTTGTGCCCAGTTGGGCAGCAAATCCAAGCGTCGCTATGGGAGTGGGGACGGTTCTTCATGGGCCTTCGGATGCCTTCGGGCTTGCCGGGCTGGGCCTTCCTCAGACCTGAGCCGAAGCTTTGCGTGGGTCTGAGCGAGCTCACGCAGCCTGAGTGAGAGGGAAGAGGGAAGAAGAGGGTTGAGAGACTTAAAACGGGAAGAGGAAGAGGATGGAAGAGGTCATGAATCAGCAGGCTGCGTCAGTGAGGATTATTTTTTGTTTACATTTGGTTACTATACTAATCTATACTACTTGTTTCCATCCATGTGAACATATTGTTGGTTTAAATGCCAATGGCTAAGTCAGCGGATGAGTCAAAGAAAGTCTAAGTTGATATCAGCCACTTGACTTAGACACCATAGTCATTTAGAGACCAGTCTCTCGACTTTCTCCCGCCCACTCCCAGAGATCCTCCACCGCGCGAAGAATCCAACTTCGAAAAGACGCTGACTACAAGAGGGTGGTCTTTAGCGGGCCAACATCCCAAACTCACACACGTAGGGTTTTGCGACTAGACCTGGATGTCCTGGATCTGGTCCGTCAGCACTTTAGGTCTTGAACACTTTAGGGCGGAACACTTGAGTAAACTACCGACAGCCCAGCTAGATCCCTCTAGAAACGAGCCGACTCAGGGTGATCATGGTGTTGTGACACGCTGTAAGTCGCACGTCTTTGGCAGAACGATGCGCATCACGATGAGCCTTTCGGTCCCAGTCATGGACTTCAGCCCCATGGCTCCATGGGAGAGATATACTGCCGACATGTCTCCCCTGAAATCAACCCACCCCTTGCCTGGTCAATATGCCACTCCCAGGTAAAATCGTGTTTGGACCAGGCAAATTGATTTTTTCTAGAGCGTATTCGAGGCAAGGCAGGGGGTGGCAAGGGGTGGTTTGGGCCACTTCATGTTTTGAGAGTCGGAAGTTGCGACGTGTTTTCCGAGTCGGCCCGCACGTGCGGGTGCGCGGACGTGCTGGTATGCAGGCAAGCCTCGCTGAGACCAAGCGCCAGTGGCAGGTGGGTTGCGCGGGCGGAAGTTCTTTTTTCCTTCTCATACGTCCATGGCAGGCACTGAGATCCATGGCAGGCACTGAGAGGAAGTCCCAAAAGCTCTAGTCTAGGGACGCAATTGCAGGTAAAATCAGGTAAACTATATAATTACTGTAGTAATTAGAGAATGTGGAATCTGGAGTCTAGACCTGTGCAATGCACCGCATCCAATAACAATGGCATGATGTTATCTGGGATCTTTTGCTTTGGCTGGAGAAGCGGCACCATGGGTTGGAGGGTATGAATTGAGGCAAGGATTCGATTCCAGGTAAAGGACTTTGGTCAATTTCTCAGTATGTTGGTCAGAAGCTTCGATGTAATTGTTATATATGTAGTGTTTTGTGGCTGCGAAGTCAAACCTTTTGAGTCTTTTGAGAGACATGACTTCACGTGGCTGTCTCGACAATCCTCGCATCCATGTGTTTGTTTTTTGAACGTGGCTGGTCTACCAGGACTTGGAACATCAAAAGGACTGCCTTCAACAAGAAGAGGCGCGGCACGGTCCAAGAGTTGAGGCACGGTCCAAGAGTTGCACGGTCCAAGAGTTCAAAGTCTCCAAGTGGTGGAGTTCAACCACCACCCAGAGGCCCAGAGGGTTGTTTGGTGAATCCAATCCCAATGCACTGGGACATAGGCCCCTGGAAGACCCAACTGGCCATCTGCCAGTGTACGGCTGAAGTAAGTGTACAGCATGAACTCTCTTTTGGAGAGGCTGTTGTAGTGCATCAAGTTCTATGCTCATGGAGGAACCACGGCGTTGAAGTCTGCAGTTTTGCACGTGATTGCTCTCATGCTGCTCTCCCAAGTTGGGGCAGGAGAGGTTAAGGTCGTGGAAATGGGCTTTGTAGAGAACCATAGGGGAATTTTTTGGCCCAACAAGTTGGGTTCTCTAATGTCCTCTATTTTTGTGTCCCATAAATGGGATCTTGAGTCTTATGTGGCCCCCCATTCACACCCAAACTGTGTGGGTGGTGATTTCAGAGATGTTTCTGTTGAACCTCTGCTTGGGATTCGATCCCCCTGACTCTGAGTTGAAACCACCTAACCGTACCCAACCGCTTACCTGAACGCTCGCGCTGCCGGACTCCAAACCGTGTGTACCGAACTCCTCACCCTGGCGGCCTCGCTTGGTGGGTGGGTGAGCCCTATCCGGCCCCATGGACGGAACTGGCTTTTTTCTATCCCGGCCCCACCTGCGGCGGCCATGTATGAATCAATGAAATGGTTGGCTTAAGGGAAAATCTACTGGAAGCCCGTGTTTGCACCCCCAAAAACATCCAAAAACTGTAGGTTTCCTGTCGACTTTACCTGACACCAATTCTGGGAATGAAGAAATTGAGGGATAGGGAGGGGATAGCTCCTTTTGGAACCCTGGTGGGTAGGGCCGGGCAGGGATGATTTTTTTCTACCAACCCCCTTTGGTTTTCAGGGTCCATGGGGTAAGGGTCTGGTGCTGGACTCCTGATGTGTCAGTCAGTGTATGCAGCATGCAGAGTAGAATAAGTGGGGTATGAATCGGTCGGGTCGGTAGATAAGTGTATGCATGTGTATGCAGCATGCATAAAGATGCAACATCCCAAGACCAGGAAACCAGTCATGTTGTTCTCATATATCTATCTACTCCCAGGATGGCCTGTATATGATTTATATAGCACCCAGCACCTCGAGTGCATTTCCAGACTCCACATATGTATACAAAAACTATAGAGAGCAAGAGCAATACTTGTTTGTTTATGATGCCTTCGCCAAAGCGGATGCCTTCAAGAACCGCCGTCCCAGTGAAAGTTTAAAGGAAAAAGACCGGTCATTGAACTCGAAGTTGACAGACGCACCGGTCCAGTGATTCTGAGCCGTCCGGTGATTCTGACGGCTCATAGCTTGCTGATGAAGTGACTGACCAGCTGAGCTCAGCCTCCGTCACCTAAGTGTAGGGTCACCTGGTTGGACAACCCTATAGACTTATAGGTTCTTATAGGATCTTGTAGGTCAACAGGACACCCATTGGAAGCTTGGTATACTGACTTGGAAACAGGTCAAGTCCAGTCCCCGATCCTGCCAAAATGGACTGATCGGTCACTGAAGTCCACGGCGCAGATCCTCAGCACAGGCGGATCTTCATCACCAAATCTCCTTGCGCGATCAGGAGTTTCAGGCACAGCGCCAAGACGATGGTGGAGGGTGGCACTGCCGTCATGTTATATGTGCTATTGCACCACCTTTCCCAGGCACTAGGTACAACCTGCACCCACGAAATGCAACCTGGCACGATGTATGACGACTTCGCAGGGTCCGCACCCGCACATGTCTCAATCGGGGGCTTAAAGGGTACATCGACTGACAGAGCGAGTCACAGCACATCTCAGAAGTCTTCAAGTCGAATCTCAGAAGTCTTCAGGCGAGCCCAACTTCTGTGCACGTTTGATTGGAGTAGGTTCAGTTTGATTCGATCCAGACCTCTTGACCAGGATCGAAACATGATGAACATTGCAGATGTACTGAGATTCGTTGGGGACAGATATCGGCTTAGCAACAATCTACCACATGATCCAAAATGTGTAAGACCCAATCAGTAAGCACGCCAATTCCCCAAACAAAACATCTCATGGT